ATCAGACAGCTACAAGGAAGCGGCGGATAAAAGGAAGGCCACAAAGGTGCGAACGTGAAGGGCAGGTATAAGTGACGACCAACTCGTGAGGCTTGAAGTCTCACTGAGCGGTAAGGACGACGAAGAGGAGGGCGGTAAGAAGTGGCGCCGAACGTGTAGGCGAACGGGGAGGACGGTAAGACAGTATATGATTGTTGACTGTATAACATACAATGTTCCATGTGATCACAAGCTTATGTTGTAATGTTGCTTTTACAGCTGTGGTAACACTTCACTTTAGTTAGCATTATTAAATCAAGTCAGTCCACATGAAGATTCTAGCATGATGTATATTTTTTACGCTTTTCTGCAAACAGCTACATCATATAACCTCTTGATTAGCACATCAGAAGTGAGTTTTCTTATTCACAGGTTCACTTGAATCTAAAACTAGACAAGTTCTTGGAAAAACATAATCCTAGAAGAAAGGATAAATTAGTGATTATACAGTTTATTCAATGATCTATTTAAGTTTACAACTTCAACTAATATTGATTCTTACTATCCAAAAAATGTGACATAACCACAATGAGCAGACTGGTTCAAATGACAGTATTTCTGACTTGTATCTATGTATGACATCACAACAAAATTTTGCACATCATTGAACATGTATTCTTTAACCCACATAAATTTATTCATAAAGCACTGGCACACATATTGATAATCAATCCTCACACTTAATTTCAACTCCTATATGCTATAAATGGTCTGCCTTGTTGCTTCTATGAAGTGGAAGATTCAGTAGACACATGTATTGTTATTGTATATTATTAAAGAAATATATAAATATTACAGGGTCTCCATGGTCTTATCATCAATGGCAGAGAACTAAAAATTATGAAAATTATAAAAATCCATCATATGTATATATATATATATATATATGAATTTTTGTGATTGAACTTATAGAGTGAAATAAGTGCTATTGCTTCAAATTACCTGCAATATTGTTATTGCTTTCTTTGTGTTTCCTTGCCATTCCTGAGCAGCATACTGAGACACAACCACCCTTGGACCAATATTCTCTAATGCAGCAGGTGCGACAAATGCAGAGAGAGACTGAAGATTTTCACTGCCTGGTGTTGACAGTTCACTTGGGTTGCTGCTGCTCTGGGCTGAAACAGTTGTTTCATCCCAACACCTGGAAAATTATTTCTACCCGTGTTTCATATAATTTGGACACAAAAATTATTTTATTCAAAACTTTTAAAAGTGCTCTTACTAAATCTGGTCAGGAAGAAGTAACTGTATGCAAGTACAACAAAATGCTACAAACATTTTTTTTCCATGGATTATTTAATAATGCTTTCTCAGCATTGAAATTATATGGCATTGGATGGTAGCATGGCAGATGAATGATCAATTGGAGATGACTTGGAATGAACTGGGTGTGGCCTGATCAAGGTACTGTCCTGGCATTTGCCTGAAGGGACTGAAGAAATCACGAAACATCTCAGAATAGCTGGTGTCCCAGCCAAAATACAAAAACCAAGAATCTCCCAATTACAAATCCAGAGTATTACCTCTAGACTAATTTGTTCACTGAATACTTAAAAGTAAAATTTGTTTCTCTATGTCAGTTAATGGTATATGAGTCAACATAAGATCTTTCTTCTGTAGCACTATATAGGATGCTAATGTCAAAATACCTTCAAAAATACAAATATGCATAAATCACATAAATTGAAGATAAATTAAAGCAGATATTTTAATTTTTGGATCTTTTCATGTTGACATGAACACAAATAACTCAAATTCTGAAAGAATCTTGAAACATTGTTCCTTACAAGATGGTACTGTCCCAGCACTTGATTTGCAACAACTACAAACAGACGTAAAAAAACTATTCTTACTTACAAGACACATGTAACACCATGGCTCTGTTTTTGTTTTTACAACAGCAGAATTTCCACTTACTCTTCAAGGGTTCCTAACATGACAGAAGTATCTATCATGTATACAACAATTCACTATGTTATGAAACTGGAGGCATATTTACTGCTACTGTGTTCACAAGAGCAAGAAAGTTCAATGTGAACACACTGCAATGGCAAGGGCCAGCAGCAATTGTAAACGACAGACACATCCTCTTGTCAGAGAGGATGTTACATAAGGACTATGACCGCAAGTGTTCATTTGAAAAAAGAAAATCCTGGTCACAGGTCTCAAGGGGCTCAGCACCAAGATGAACTGATTGGCAGTAAAACACCAGTCGTAAAGTGACTCTGACTCTGAGAAAAACGGATGATATACAGACACCCATTCTTTGCAATCAAATGTGTCATGTGAGAGATATTCATTAACCTTTTGACGTGGTCATTTAAATTCCGCGGCCGCGGCTCCTGCGGTAATATATTCAGCCGGCCATTTAAATTTTGCTCGAAAATTATTTATTCATCATTGTTCTTAAAATCTATGAGATAGGAACATGAAACNAAAGGAGCCCATGAGAAGACAAGACCAAACACAGTCATGGACTACAATATGTATAAAATTTGTGTGAATAAATATGACTATATGTTGTCTTATTATTAAAATACACAGTAAAGTGGTGGATGAAGTTAATTTTCCATCCCTTCAATCTTGCACTTGTGAATGCTCACATTCTGCACTAGAAGAAGTGCACAAAGAAATTCAGGATTCTGTAACCTAAGGGAGAAAGTAGCAGAGGGACTTGTTGCTGGAATGGGGTGAGAACTGACAGAACAATCACAGAAAGTTCTGCAGGCAAACTTGTGGACAGAGATTATTTTGCTCAAAGGATTCCCACAATGGGCGCAAAAGAAAAATGCCATCACACATGTAATGTCTGTGCAGACTGTCAACACAGAGGCAAGCCCCAACAAAAATACACCACCACCTACTGCCAAAAGTGTAACATACATCTCTGTTCTGGGGACTGCTTTAAGATTTATCACACTGAAGTGAATTGTGGGGACCAGTATTTCATAGCAAATTTTGCTACAATGATTACATATGTGTAAATGTAAAATTACAATCATTCAATTGTTGGACTAATGTAATATATGTATAAGACTGCACAAATAATTAGTTTGTGCCAATGAGAACCATGAAAAACATGTAAAAATTTGAGAAAACTCCACCATAAATGTATATATCAATACTCTTTTCTGCATAAAGCTGTAAGAAAGCATGTAAAAATAAAAATTTAATTTTTCTAACTAAAAGGAGTACTTTTGTCTGAACCCCTTTAAAACGTCTGATATAAGGTAAAGGGGATATTTAAATAGCTCCAGGCTCAAAGTGATAAGGCTGTTGTATCTGAATATAGGAGTACAAAACTGAAAAAAAATATCTTAAAGACAGACACACACATGCAGCCAAATGTGTGTGTATACAGGGTGTCCATAAAGTCCCTATACAATTTTAAAAATGTATTACAAAGGCAAAGGAAAAGACAGATAAGTGGAAATTACTACAACATGAGACATATACATTTAAGTTTTTTTGCCTCATTTAATACACCTCTTTATGGGCACCGTTAGTTGCACGAAGCACATCAAGATGGTACTCGATTTCTTGCCATGTTCGCTGTAGCATACCCTCATCAGTGGTGGCAATAGCACCGGTGATCCTCTGCTTTAGATTAGTGATGGCCCATACCTGTGTTCGATACACGATATCTGTAACATAACCCCATAGAAAGAAGTTGAGGGGAGTGATATCTGGTGAACGAGGTGGCCAGGGAATTGGGCCACCCCTTCCAATCCACCGGTCTGGAAATGTTTCTTTTAGGAACACATGAACATGCAGTCCCCAATGTGGTGGTGCACCATCTCGCTGGAAAATGATGGTTGGTTGAAAGTCATGTAGTTGTGGTGCCACGTATTCAGTTAAAAGATCAAGGTAAACATTTGCAGTAATTGAAGGCTAATCGAAGAAAAACGGACCAATGATTCGATTGCACATGATCCCACACCACACATTCACCTTTGGACTATCTCGCTGAAGTTCCCTAGTCACATGGGGGTTTTCTGATCCCCAGATTCTCTCATTGCATGTGTTCAGTTTCCCTGAAACATGAAAGGTTGCCTCATCACTAAAACAAACTCGCTTGAGGAATGTTTCATCCTCAGACATTTGTTCCAGCATGTTAACTGCCAACTCTTTTCGTCTTGGTTTATCATTTGGCTCGAGTGCCTGTAACAATTGCACTTTGTAAGCGACCAATCGCAAGTTCTTGTGTAGGACTTTGTGCACTGTTCATTTACCAGTACCTCCTTCATCAACAGGGTACCTGAAATACACAAAACTTTGATACCCACTGAGTACATACAACAAATCTGATGAAGATATCGCATCAAATGCCTTTGTAATAATTTTTTGAAATTGTAAAGAGACTTTATGGGCACTCTGTATATTAAATATTCTCATCAAGGAACAAACAGTTGTATGTATAAAATTACATAATACTACAAATTAATGACACTGGTTCAATTACATCATCACAAATGTAGTTTCTTCATGGTCATTTTAACCAGAGACTATATGAATTTTCACTTCTCTTTCTTTTTTTCTTCAATTCATGGTACTGGAAGCCAAGCCTGTTCGAACTTCATGGAATCATTCAATATTTAGCAAGATTTTCCTCAGTCTCAGCATCCTTTTGGTCCATAATGAAGAATCTGTTTCAACAATCTTTTGTCATTCATTCTATCTGGGTTTTCCTATATTCCTCTATTTTAGTTTGTACAGACCATACCACATATTGAGTCCTTTCATAATCTCTTCAATCCTAATACAGTCCATTCTAGGGGAGCCTTTAATTGTTAAGTACTTCAGCATTACTAATTGCAGTCTACTTATTATCTCCTGCTTCAATTCCATAGACTGCCTCTGTGGTCTAGTGGTCAGAGTTTCTGGCTACAGATCCAGAGGTCCCGTGTTCAATTCCCTGACATCACCACATTTTCTAAGTAGTAGTGCGTCTGAAACGGGGTTCACTCGGCCTCATGAGGATGACTGAGGTGCTACTTGAATAGAAAAGTAGCGGTTCCGATCTAGAAAACTGAAGTTAACAGCTGTGGGGATTTGCTGCGCTGTCCATGTGACACCCTCTATGTGCTAAAGTTGGCACTAACTTCGTGAAGTATAGTTCGCTTGTGGACTAAAGCCATGGAGTTTGTTTGTTGTTTTGTCCAATTCCATATATTCAAAGTAGGCAGTGCAACTGCTTTACAAAATATCAAGTGTATTTCTTTCCCTCGTTTCAGTCTTTAAGGTCCCTAAAGGATCACATATTGTATCATACTACTGAATCTGTCATATAAATCTTTGTCTAATGTATATATTATGTCACTTTTTGAATAACTGAAATTATATATTTGCTCTTATCTATTATTACCTATAATTATATTAATTTGAAATGGATGCTTGACTTTGAATATCACAACTTTTAGTTAATCACACAATTAGAGTTGTATCCAAAAAGTATTTATCTTCTTGACTGAATTTTTAGATCATGCATGTATAAATTATAAAATTACTGCTGTAACTTATCCTTACTGTTCCATATTAAAATCTGGTCATCTCCAAACAACAACATACCTAAGTACTGTCCTCTACTTACTACAATTCCTTGGTCAATTCTACCTTTTCTTTATTCCTCTTCTCAAGTCTTAATCTTCAATCCTCTGACTCAACTGAATTTGTACTGCCAATGTGCATACTCCCAACAAACACCCTTATCCACCTCCCCCCCCTCAAATCCATATACTCGTACACTCATACAAACGCCTATCACATGGTAGAAGCATTAAAATGAGAAAGATTTCTCAGATACATGAAACATTTAAAATTATGTACATCACATGTATAGACCAGACACAAAGAGGAGGAGATTGTGAACAGGCTTCCTCCCTTCCAGGAAGAGTGAATGTCATATAGTTAACATAAAACATAGTCCACATTAATACTAATTAGACTAATAAATCCCATAAAAACATTCTTGTGTCAGCTTCATATGTCTAACAGATAGTACCTTGTATATAATACTTTTGTCTTCAATTTGGGATTCTTGTCCATATTTTGCTTGGGGACAGTCAACTAAAAGATGTGGATGATAAAGCGAACATTGCAGGATGTACAAAGCAAAGGAGGCAGTCCTATAAGGAAGTGCCATGACTCAAGTAGCTATGCTTAATATGAAGTTACATGATTAACAATGTCTCATGTCAGACACTGTGAGACAAGATAACCATTATATAACAGTATGCTGTATGTGTCTCAGTTAAAAAAAAAGTCTATTAAACATCTACTGTACACAAAATCAGTTTTAATCTGAGCTTCAAAATTAATTTTGTAATTAATTTTCATTCACTGTGATTTCCTCCTAAATATGTAATTACAGAACGTGCTGTCGATAATCCTTTGCAGTTTAACAATGCTGTAACTCACACTATATAGTGTTCAAAGACTGAATGATAGTGAATAATGTATTGGAAAGCATGTGGATGGAAACTAATGTGGCCTAATCTACTGTATTATCCTAGCACTTGTGTTGAGGAACTGAGATATACCCTGAAAATCCTTGGCCAGGATAAGCAGTGTACTGTCAACAATTCAATACCTGGTACCTCTTCAATCCAAGTCAGAAGCATGAAAGCTTGACCTAATATGCTTGGTAAGAACTCACTGGTGAATAAAATTCTGATCACTTTCTCCACATTCAGTAACAGCCATCACTGCAGTGTCCCACTCCATGCAACCCGATTCTTCTGAACTCCAACATGTCCGGGCTTTCGTTTCCATGTCACTTGCCATTTGTGAAGTGTATGAGTCAAACATTTTGCTGCCATTTTCAAAACCGCTGCTGCTTTCCATTTTATATCTGTATGAAAAGAAAACAATGTAAACTAACATTTCTACAAAATACTTTGGCAAGAGGATGGTAGTTACATTTAAGGCATTTAAGGATTTTGGGAGGTCTGTCTTTTATGAATATCTTATTGATTAAATGTTATAAAACTAAAAATATTTTGGCTTATATATCTCTTACCACCCAAAATTCTGGCAGAACTGATTCAAGCACGAAGTGAAATTCTATGTTCTGAGATCTATAAACTCACAAATTCTATTTGGAACAATGAAGAATTGCCTCATCAGTGGTGACTCCACTGCTGCATGTGAAGAATCTCCTTGGATATAATGCTGAGTAGTCCACTGAAGGTCAATTGACATTCTGGAGGAACATATCACCCTCATCTTCAGGATGAAAGGTAAGCCAAGCAAGAAACCAGCATGGAGCAGGCAGCTAGCAAAGCACATGGCTTAAGAAAATGTGGAATTATATACGATTAAAGGGGACCTTGGAAGCAAACCCATCAATTCCCATTGGCTCTATCAGGTCAATATCTTTGATTGCCTTAGACAGGTGCTGTCCTGGCACAGCATCAAGTTGGGTGGCCTCCAGATGAAGAAAATCTCCAAGTTTGTTTGGCTACTCAAGAGCGACCCGGGAGTGGGGACACCATGAGTATACAGTATACCCTGTGCATGTGGATGGTCCACACTGGACTGACGGCTGTTTGACTGATGGCTGCTGAAGGAGCACCATCAGCATATCCATGTAGAATATCTGGACAATTCAGCCATGGTGGAGCAAAGTATAAACTTAGGCATTGCACCCAGCTCCACAACACCAGCATCCTCTCCAGCAAGACAAAATACATGGATTACATCAACAGGGAGGCAACTGAGATTAGACTCCATCCCAATATTATGAACAGGGAGGATGGCTTTTGCCTCAGCAAGTCATGGAAACCTCCCATCTCCATCCTGCAAGATCATGGGAAACCTCCCTCACAGGATTCTCTAGTTGGGTTTCCTTTTCAGGGACAAACCTGTCTTCTATTGGTTCACCTTGATTCTCTCATACAGCCAATGGGAACAGTCAGGGTGGCCTCAGAGGTCCCTTCTGCTTCTGTATAATCCCACGTTTCTATAAGCCACCTGCCCTGAGATGGAGGCGACATCTTCCTCTGAAGCATCACTTTACTCTCACTGGACTGTACAAGTATAACGTTATATGAGAAATCTTCATAACCACTGCTGTGAGAATGTCAAATTCTTCATATTATTGTATTCACTCATGAGAAGGATGATAATACTGACCGCAGTAATTATCTAAGCATATTACTGTTACCTCAACTTTATACATAATTTTGTCCAATAGTCTTCTTTCAAGGTTAGCTCCATATGTTGATCAGAATACGGAGTATCATCATGTGGATGTAGACATAACAGATGGTGAGAGTAACTGTGACTACTCAAGGTCATATGTTACAGGGAGTATTGAAGCCATCTTCAATGAGGTTGGCTGAACTACAGCTGTGTCTAATGGGGGCACATCATGGATCAGGGAGTGAGTTGGGACAGCGCTTTGGGACACTTTCTCATGGTCCCACTGGGCAACATCAGCCTCGGGGTCTGGATTAGTATGACAAGCCAGGACTGGCGGCTAAGCTCCTGTAACAGGAAATGGCACCTTATGACCGGACCTTTCCACATGGCAGCACTATGACACTTGGGTATTACTATGGTCTGTCCGGGACGAATGTGGGGGGAGCTCCAGCTACTTGAGTTGTCTCCCTGTTAAGGTGCCACAAGCCTTCGGGCTCAACACTCTAAAACGGTTTAACCAATCCATGTGGAAGGGGGGGAGTGATCCTTCCACGCGATTAGCCCTGGTAGCAACCACATGGTTAGCTGGTGTTGCACTCCCGCTGGTCATCTGGGATATCCCCTCCCGCCAAAAGTGCACTTTAGGACCTGGAGGATCGTGAGGGTTTTTATTCTCAACAGGCCCAAACCACTAAAGCCAAGGTTTGATGCATCATGCCGAGGGCAGCGTGGCACTGGAGTGGATATTAGCCAGTGTTGTGAATGATCCCCTTGGGGCAAGAGACAGCATCCTGTCATATTTATGCCTTCCACCCATATTGAGTGCTGTGGGTGGCGACCTTTTAATTCCCCTTTACTCATGGAACCACTATGGAGACCAAAACAAAAAACGAGTGACTCAGGACCTAAAAAAGCAATGGGACTACAATTCAAGGAGATCCCAAAAAGAAATACTTCAGCAGGGGGCTGGAAGCTCTGGTGCACCGTTAATGGGTCCAGTTGCAACCAGCAAACCTGCAGTTGAGATTTCGGCCAAAGGCACAGACAAACCAGTAATGAGAAACCTGCCTGAGGTAAAAGCAAGGACCCCTAACTTGGGAGTCAGTAGTACTAACACACCACTGCAAGCAGTTAGTACGTCTAGCATACCTACAGCAGAAGGTCTGGGACACCTAGCCTCTGGAGTAGGGTACTCCATCTGGTGAAGAATGCTTTACCTGGATGCGCTAGATGGAAACTGAGGGCAAGCACAGCATTCAGCAACCAGGAAATGCAGGCATGCTGAAGCCAGGAGAAACCCTGACCAAAACCCTTAAGAGGCCAAGGTCAGAGGGCAGTATCCCTACAGAAACGGCCAGACCTTCAAAAGGCCCAGAGACTTACAAGGAGACACTGACAAACATACAGAAAGCTATCTTCAAGGAAACATACCATGAAGATAAGCTAACCCAAACAAGACAGTAATTATACCCTTTACTAGGAAGAGGACTTAAGGAATCAATCCTCTTCAGCAAAACGATCCAGCTTTCCTGTGAAGTCAAGTGCCTTAGACTAACATTAGACAAGGGACTGACATGGAAAAAGCAGCTGGACAAAGTTATCAACAAGGCCAATAAGGCCATCTAGAAATGCAGAGGCACGTTCCGAAAAACCTGGGGAATGAAACCAAAGGTGATATACTGGATATACACTGTGGTTGTATGACCCATAGTTACCTATGCTGCCACTGTATGGTGGCCCAGAGTGAAACTCAAAAATGAGTCATGCAGAACTTAGAAAAATGCAAAGGATGACCTGCTTGGGAATTACAGAAACAATGAGAACAGCTCTAGCAGCTGCAATTGAAGTTCTCCTTGGACTCTCCCTACTACATCTGCAGATGGAAGCAGAGGCCAAGATAGGAAATTACAGACTACATGGCAATGATCAATGGAAACCCAAATCTAAAGGTTTTGGACATGCATACATGGTTCAGGACATAAAAAAAGAACCAATTCTACAGATGGGGTCTGATAAAATGATACCGAAACATGCGTATGATAAACCATTCACAAAGAAGTGAATGGAAAGAGGGGTTTTAGCTTGACAGAAAGGGGGGACTAATCTGGCACACAGATGGCTCCAAGATAAATAAAGGCATTGGAGCTGGGGTGTATTGTCATAGTACAAGACGAAAACTAAGTTTTAGCCATGGGCTATACAGGCAGAAGTGTATGCCATTAAAGCATGCGCAGTTGAGAAACTAGAAAGAAACTATAAAAACAGAAACATCTATATACTATCAGACAGTCAAGCCACAATTAAAGCATTTGGCAAATACCAGATCACATCAGAACTCATCTGGGACTGCCACCAATCCCTCACACAACTGGCCAGACATAACAGAGTTCAGCTGATATGGGTGCCAGGGCATGAGGTTATTGCTGGGAATGAAACCGCAGATCAGCTGGCAAGAACAGGATCTGAACATCTGAACCAGCTTGCGGCATCTCATTTGGAGTTGCCAAGAAAGCAATCAGGGACTGGATGAACACAAATGAAAAAAAAATACATTGGGAATGTGTAAGAGGACTCAGACAGGCAAAGAGACTTAAACTAGGGCCCTCTGCTATAAGAATGAAGGGTCTGTTAAAATTAAACAAAGACTGTTTACAGTACACTGTCACCTAAAAGGACACCTTTTCAAACTGGGATTAACAATGACCCCACTTGTAAACGGTGCCTAGAAAAAGATGAATCAGCGACACACATCCTATGTGATTCAAGATTTCATCACCTGCACCAGTTTTTTATGGAAGCAAGTTGATTATTATGATGCCCCCATAAACAAAGTCCTACAGTTCATTCAAAGCATAGATCACTGAAGGTGGCAGTGCAAGGGCTGGAAGGGTCCACCCCTCAGTCAGTCAGTCATTCATTTGTTCGTGGGTTGGTTCGTCCATCCATTTGTTTGGCATTCATTAAATACTGGAAGAAACAGGAGTGAAATAAGAAATTGCATAACCTGTATATAGACTTTACGAAAGCATATAGCTCAGGAAGGAAGTATCGTACAGTATTCTCATTGTGTTTGGCATATCATTGAAACAAATTGGACTAATTAAAATATGATTAAATGAAATCTATTGTGAGCCCACACTGATAAACATTTCTCTGTGTTTCCTACTCGGAATAGTCTGAAACAAGGAGATGCTGTACTGTCACTGCTTTTCAACTTTGCTTTGCATTACATACTTAGGAAGGTTTAAGAAAGCCAAGAAGGAATAAAACTGAATGGCACACATCAGTTTCTGTGCTATGGTGATTATTTTAATTTATTTGGGACAGCGTAAATACCACAGAGAAAACACAGACGCTCTAACAGACACTAAGCAGGAGATTTACAAAGAAGTTAACAGAGAGAAAACCAAACATATGTTGATACATCATCACCAGAATGCAGAATCACAACTAATAACAACCTCTTTTCTTCCAATCTGCTATCCAAGAACACAAAGATGAAACTAAATAAAAATATGTTTGCATGTAACTTTGTATGGGTGTGACTCTTGGACATACATATTAAGGGAAGAACATAGGCTGGGAGTGCTTGAAACAATGGTGCTGAAGAGAATATTTTGACTGAGTTTGGATAAATTAATACAAAGCTGGAGAAAACTGCATAATGAGGAACTTCATAATTTGTACTCCTCACCATATATTATTAGAAAGATCAAATGAATGAGAATGAGATGGATAGGGGAATGTAGCATGTATGTGACAGAAGTGCATATAAAGATTATGTAGGAAAATCTGAGACTACTGGAAACACACAGATGTACATGGGAGGTTAATACTAAAATGGACCTTAAAGAATAAGTATGGGGGGATGTGTATTGCAATCATCTGGCTCAGGGTAGGATCTGAGGTTGAGCTCTTGTGAATACAGAATTGAACCATGAAGTTCAGTAAAATGATAGGAATTTATTGAGTCGCTTCTCCAGGACTCAGCTAGCTAGTTTAGTTAGTAAGATATCTCGTACCACAGACTTCTTCCTCTTGGGTCTCTGCAAGTTGGATCACCCTTATAACATACTTACAAAATTCGTATTTGCAAAAATACCAATATGCCAGTCACATGAAAGTACGGAATAATAATAATGCCATTCAATAGTGTCCTAAAATTTTTCTGGCAACATGACTTTGAATGAATAGAACCTTTCAAAAATGATACTATCTAACTTGGAACATAACATGGTGATCATTACATCAATTTCATTCCTGATTTCATGATGGTAAATCATAAAATTTTGTACCTAAGTAAATGAAACTTAGTATTGCTAAAAACTATAGAAATATCAATAAACTTTGTATGAAACATTTGCAAAAAACCAAATAAAAGGTGGCATAAACCCTTGAGGCTATATTTACTAAAAGAAAGATGGACAAAAGTCATATGACATGGAGTTTGACGTTTATTTACATTATAAGGTGCAATCTGGAACAAATGTATACAAACATTTGAGAGGCACAGTAGTGTATTAATAAATGACAAAGGCCTGTAATAAAACAAATATTATTTGTCACTGCTGTTTGACATATCGTAAAAATTACATCTTGTTCGTAACATTTTGTAAGGACCAACAACTTCATATTCTACCAAAACCAGTCCATCCAGAACATGCAGATAAGCAAATAGGGTACTTATTTTCTGTGAGATTGCCTCAAATTGAATGTTAAAAATGTAAAACCCTATCACGCATGAACCTCTTCTTCCACATTTGCAAATTTATGTTTCTCCAATGTGCTACTCCTCATTGTTACTGCTACTACTGCTGCTTGCTGTACTATCACCATCACCGCCACCTTCATGACTATCATACTTGTTTGACAATAAATTAAATTTTAAAGATCATTATATGGAACCTGAAGTTCTCAGACCGATGAATATTAAAACTGTGATCTTCTGGATGGTGATCACATGTAATCTGCTATACAGGTACCAAAGCATCAGAGCAACCTGCTGCCTCAAAATGTCGATGTCTACCAGGCTATATGGCACATCTGAGAAGACTATAATCTTGAAAGACTGTTCTGAAATATGGTGTTCAACAGTGATTACAATATTATAATAAATGTATTAGCTTAAGAATGCAATCCAAATACATATTTTCTTGTAGAACAACTAAACAACAGTTTATAATTCACACATACCTTTCTGTGTTTGGACTGGCTGCAAAACTGAGGTTTGAGGATATGCTCTGTGATTCCTCAGACAAGTTACAAACAGTTGGACTCAACTCTGCTACTGTATCCCTTTCCAAAGTGTTTACAGTAACTACTGTAATACCCCCTTCTTCTATTTCGGGGTACTCCTTTAGATCCTCTTCATCCCACTCCAAACTTGCCATTAGTTCATCCTCACTTGGTGTTGGCGCCAATATAGATTTTTCACTATTTTGTGACCGTGAAAGTTTCCTCTCTGCTAATGGGGAACCATCTTCAAGAACAGAATGCCCCAATGTATATTTTGCTGAACTTGAAACATTCCTTTCCTATTGCAAATTAAAAATGAGAATGTTAATTTCCAGGTATTTCCAATTCAAGGTTCATATTTTTTTATATTACTGCACAGAATTTATATGTAATAATACAAATGCCGTCGTGAATGAAACAATTTATTTGGTTGTAGTTCTTTGTCTTTTCTTCCTCTACACTACATGTTTCGGCTGCAACCGGCCATCATCAGGTGTATTTTTCACTACATAGCTGTCACACTACACACAATCTAAAATTCAAAACACCAGCCTGTCAGTTTTGTTTAAAATCTCGCCAACATATGCTCGTCAATTTGACTTTAGAATTTCAATTTAAAATCTAAAATTTTAAAATTCAAAATTTAAAGTTTTAAATCACAGGAACACCCACTCTGTGTCCTCATGTGCTGCAGCGGCTATTTCTTATTTTGAGCACCGTTCACGTATTTTTCTGTGCAGGCTCCTGGTGTGTGTGTGTGTTGCTACTCATCTTTAATATGCTACAAATTTTAAATTTTAAATTGGAATTCTAAAATGAAATTGACGAGCGTATGTTAGCGAGATTTTAAACAAAACTGACATGCTGGTCTTTTAGATTTTAGATTATGTGCAGTGTGACAGCTACGTAGTGAAAAATACACCTGAAGATGGCCAGTTGCGGCCAAAACATGTAGTGTAGATGAAGAAAAGACAAAGAACTACAACCAAATAAAGTGTTGCATTTACGACGGCATTTGTATTATTACGTACAGAAGTGTATAATGCAACAGGATGCTTAAATATAATATACTGCACAGAACTTGGTAGTATAGGGAGTGGCTGTAGACTGGACAACCATGGTTTGATTTCAAGCAGCTGCTGGCATTTTTCTTTTCATCATCATGTCCAAATCAACAGTAGGGCCGCACTGTCTAATATCAATAATTAAAGTAGCCGAAGCATGATGCTGTCAACAGACCTTCACCTAGTGTCAATGATAATGGATCTTCTCCCCTATACATCTCAGTATATGGAACTTTGTTAAACACCCTGATAACTTTACTTTTGAGGCACAGACTACTTTGCAGGCTGAACAGGCAAGTCTCTAAACTTAGCTTCTGTCATCCAAAATTACAACTTCCACATCTTTTAAATATCCCTCAAGAAACTGCAATATATTATCCTTTAAGATCACAGTTTTTGAGAAATCTCTTTTGTTCAGAGGTAATAAAGTGCATACTCTTATGGGGGGCCAAACCATTAATATGGCACAGTAAATGGGTATCAAATGAAGGCAGATTGGAAAACCATCCAAAATTAAAATGTTATTGAATCCCTTAAGTTCTTCAGCATATGATTTGCAGGGTCTGTTTCGTTACTTCTTCAAAAAATAGTAACAAGAAATGTATACCTGCAATTAAAATGTAAGTGCATGAAACAGAATTTCTTATTACCATGATATGACGACAGATCCAGAAGGCTACACAGGCCATGACCGACTAACATAACAACTCCCCCGCCCACCCCCACCGCCC